TAGGAGCTCAAGGGTGGCCTGCTTTTATGTCTGCCTATACACTCTCCAAAGCTGCCATGAATGCCTATACAAGGATTTTGGCTAAGAAACACCCCAGTTTCTGCATTAATTGTGTTTGCCCTGGCTTTGTCAAAACTGATATAAACTATAATACTGGAGTCTTGACTGTTGAGGAAGGTGCTCAAGGTCCTGTGAGATTGGCATTGCTGCCAAATGGCGCCCCTTCTGGTCTCTTCTTCAATCGATTGGAAGAATCAGAGTTTTGATCAGATTGTGGGAAAGTATATGCTACTTCCTCTGTACTGCTTTATGATTGTCTTAGAATCTCAAACAAGTAAAAGCATGTTTGAAAAAATGTTTAAATATAAACGTTGTTTGCAAGTAAGGAATAACAAAGTCTGTGATTTATGGTATTTTGCTTCCTCACGAATTTTTTTATAACTCATTCATCTGAACATGCTTTGATTACTCACATTATGAGACGCAGCATGTATCTTGCAGCATGCATAGACGCAATGAAGTCAAGCAGCTTACTTTATGCTAATTTGATTCATCTACGCAATATTTGGCAGAAGCTAAGCTGAAGCTCAAAGCTTCTCCTCCTGTTTCTCATTGATTTCATGCCTTAAACCATCTGAAACACCTGCTTGTATTTGTTGTTTGACATCCTCTCTAGATTTTGATTTTTCTTGAGGATTTTTCTATCTGAACTATGCTGATTTTTGCATTTTTGCACTTTAATGCTAAAACAAATTCTTGATATACAATTTTTTTTTTCTCACAACTTAAAAGAAGAAAAAAAAAATTCCCCAACTTTCCCAACTGGGTGACTTGACATCTTTTCACTAGCTTTTAAAATATTAACTTTTTACAAAATATATAAAAGGGTGATAACTCAAGTAAGAAAAAGTGTTATGTAATCCGGATTATATTAGACTACATAATTCTAACCAGTGGATGAGGATTTGACTCTCTGATATTGGTGGCTTCTTCCCATCCAATAGTTTTTGTTTTATTGTCGACTATAGTTTAAACCATAAAATAAGATTCTCATTCAAATAATACTTAAACAAAATTTCAATATAAAATTCACTATCTTTTTTTAAAGTACTTTTGCAACTATTTTTTCAATAAAATTTTTTTGCCCTTCTAACCAAAAAGGCCTCTACATGTATAACATCTTGATACCGTTAGAGTTTTGGAGGAGAATTGGAGCAGAAGAACTTAGAACATGAATTTGGCATAGTCATGGAAGGGCTGTGGTCATTGCTACCATGAAAAATGTTAAGATTACCAATTTTTAAATTTTTTTCTTAAAAAGTGTATGAAAATATCAATTTGTTTATTGATTTTAATTTATTAACTAATAAATATCAACTGTTTCATCAATTATTAATTAACAGTTACTATCATTAGTTATTGTTATTAATTAAATAAAATAAAAT